CACCACCACCACAGAATTATTCTTTCATATGTAATGAAAGAATTCTCTGAGATCCCACCGTAATGAAAAGTCATAATGCCCTCTTTCAAGCTGTGCATTCTGACATTATAGCAAGGGTTAATTACAATAGGAATCTGAGGAACCAACTGAGCCCACATGCCCAAAATAGAATAATTATGACTGAAACAGGATGTTTAAATAAAAGTAAGAAAAGCGCTAAACCATCAGACCTGCAGGTCACTTCGAGAACAAGGGGGCGTCCACGCGGAAACCTCCTGTTCTTCCTGATGCTCTAGGAAACTGCTCCAAACCAGCCAAGAAATGAAGGCTCTGCTATCTCTGAAGCAATTTCCCAGCAGAAAGAAATTGGGGCTCAGGAAATGCTGTCACCCTTGAACAGGCCTTGGACATTTGACACAGCAGGAAAGCCTTTGGATATTGGCTCATTAAGGTGGGTGGGAATAATCAGACTAAGATAAAAGCAGCTGAGCACAAAAAGTACATTCAATTCGAGGGTGAGCACTGCCAAGGGAAATATCTTTAAAAAGCTTAAGTTATATTGGCAAATGTCTCAAAATAGCTTTTTTCATCAGGGAGGATGCCTACCAGCATGCCTAACTGGATGGCTAACATGGCCACCCTGGCTTCTTGCTCTGGTTCTTGCTCAGCCTCCCGTAATGCCTTGGCTCCTCGTGCATGACCCATGTTCCCCAAGCAGACCTTGGCAACATCCAGCCTTTGGGTCTTCACACACATGCGGGCCATGTTCTCCCAGACAGCTTCGCTGCAGAATGCAAGAAGAAGGGACATGGTCTAAGTCACCCTATGAAGACATTCAGGAATACTGATGTGTGAAATGGCTCTTCTGCTGGAGAGAAGACCTCTTTAGGAACCATAGCTTAGATTGATGTGCAAACCAAGGCACTGGGTTGGAGACTTAATATTACACTCGCTGAACTCCATGGATCAAAATTAGCCAGGCTAGCTTGTTCCCTTGGCTTCAGTGAGTCTGTTCTAAGCACGACCAAGTCTGAATCCAACCTCCAAACTTTTTTTGTTCTTAAATGGGATCTCTCTCCTAAAGACTGCTCTTTTCATTGCCCAAGCCCATCAAAGGCTGATTGTTTTCACTCAGATATTACATTCAGCGCTTTGGGAGAAAAAAAATGTAAAGCAATAAGCCTTCCAACCCCTCCCCCTATATCAAACTCAGAGAATTTCCTGAGTTTATCTTTGGAACTCTACCTCACATCTGTCCTTCATCAACTAGAGCTTGCTGTTCTAATGAATACCAGATGCAGTGGAGGAAGGGCACAGATCACCCTCTTTTGTTCTGAATTTAAAGAAGAACACGCTGACCCTCTTGCGGTATTAATTCTGCACCTTGAACTGCAAAATCAGTCTGTAAAATGGAATACAAAAGCACCCAGTGCATAAGGAGAACTTCCTCAGTCTGGCACCCACTAAACTGTTGGGGTTCCACCTCCCAGAATTCCTGGCCAGCAGACTTCTGGAAGGCATAATCCCACCATATCCACTATGCTGGCCAGGAACTCTGGGAACTGCACTCCTAACACCTCTGGAAGACAGTGGGTTGTGGAAGACTAATAAAAAGTATGGATGCAATTAGGACAATTCTAGATTTCAATAGGTTTTGTCACTAGTCTTTTTGGTGTGCATTTCACCTATTTACTTCTAAAGGACTGGATGACATTGAAGCTTACACAGACCTAAGCCCAAGTTCAGGTCCCAACTTGACCATGGGGCTCACCAGGTTACTTTGGGCCGGTCCATATCTTTCAGCCCACCCTGCTTCAGAGGGGTGCTGTTGTGAGGACAAAGGGAGGAGACCCTGATGTGGGCCATCTTGAGGCTCTTATTATTAAAACTGAAATCATCATCATCTGGCAATCTGGGGTGTTGGCTTGAGTACTGATAAACACTGATCTTCTGCAATGGGAGGACTCTGTGACCTGGATGATAACTGATTTTCAGGGCTCATGTTTCACCACTTAAAAAAAAAATTGCTTAACATATGCAGAAAGAACTAAAGTTTTCAGTAAAGTGAAACAGGACAAACAACTTTGTCCCAAACCCACCTGTTTCCCTCAAGGGGAAGGCAGGAACAAGAGAAGGAAAAGACTTATCCTGTCGGATGACTAGCAGGATGGGAGACATACTGAAGACCTCTTCAGTAGACCTCAAGGTTTTCTGAGTTCTAAAAAAATTCCTGGAGGCCCAGGAAGAGGGCAAAGCAGGGTTCCCGGCTGGCTCCCCACTTACCCTCCGTTCCCAGAAACTGACAAAAGCAGAAGAGTATCAGAACCACAAGATCTATTTGGGTGGCATGGATATTTGTAGTAGGACAAAGCTAAGGCTAGTGGAGATTTTAAAAATCCTGATGTTAGATGTGTCATATTGAGAATTTGGACTAGATACAAATCCAGGTGGTGCCCCAAAACACCTTTTATACGTTCATTGCTGACTGGAAGCCCCTTATTATAGACTTTTTACATGACACAGAAAAAAAAAATGAACACGTGACTTGCGGTTTTGAAGATTAGAAAAAAACAGGTGATAGAAAAAAGAGAGTTTGTCTTTGTAACCATAGAGTAAGAGGTAATTTTCTATTTGTAATTATACTTGCCGTAAATGAAATCAGAAGCAACTTCTTTCTATTTCTACTTTTTCTTTGTGCACTTTTGACTTTTTCTTTGTTCTTCTTCCTCTTCCTCTTTTCTTTTTACTTTATGTTATAAAGTAATATAATACATTACTTTACCAGTAATTAATTAATTTTTATTCACACACACACGCATATAGTCACAAAACCTTACTTTTCAGGTCTTTGCATGAATAGCAGCTGGAAATTATGCCCAGGGAACCCTAGCAGGACTACTGCTTGACCTGATCATCCGTTTAGTTATATGAGATCTGGTCTTGGCAATGACATCCTTAGATCATCCATAGCAAAAAGCCAGATCTTAGTTTTGTGCAAAGCGGAGACAGGGGCAGACTAAAATAATACTGCAAATATGTTTTATACTAGACAAGATACCATGGATTTCTGAAAGACGATAGGAACAGTGTATGGCTGAATATTTAATTAAAGATCTCTAATTGCAGAATATTTCCTGGTGAGATGAGCTCTTTTCTGTGATGTAAATCTTCACCTCTGTCAATTCAGTTTTACTGCCTATGTGCTCCTTTTAATAAAGCAAAAGAGTGGGGTAAGCACGTATTGTTTCCTAAGAAAATTTACAAACATCGACCCTTAAAATACTGAGTTTAAATGCACTGTGATATACAACCAGTATAAAATCTATGTACGATTAAAGATATGTAATTTTTTAAAAAAAAGTTTAAATAACCAAAATTCAGAATTCAGACTGCATAAGGATATTACTTCTTAATTTTTACTCTTTAAAATTATATAAGCAAGTACTGTTTATGTGACTTCATGACAAAAATGAGAAAACTGCTTATATACTGGTTATATATGGATTTTGTTTGTGTATGTACACACATGCAATGCTCATTTTTTTTTATTGGCTGCACTGGAAAGCATCTATTGATTTTTATTTTTTATTTTTAACTTTCTGTTTTTATTCCTTGTAACCTTGCTCCGTTTTTACTACATTTCTTGTAGTTTTGTTAATATGCTTTGGATAATAGGCTGAATTTTGGTGTTCAGCTGCTTTTCAAGAGCTGATGTTGACAAACAGGGCACAATTAAAAACAAATCAAAACAAAAATATTCACAAATGATGAGTTGTAGAATTGGGGGGGGGTCCCTCTACATGGCCAATTTCTGCCAGACAAGCAGAATAAGTAGAATAGCCTTATGAACTGACATAATGTTAAATTTTTCCTGGAAGGATGATCCTCTTGGAGCCACCTCCATCGATCTCATCCAACAGACAAATTCCTGCACAAGTAATTCTGATTATTTTTGCTGTGGTAAGCAAAAGAAAAAAGAAAAAAAAAGATATTCTCGATGCTGTTCTTAGCACTAGACTAAGAGTGTGCTTGGGAAGAGAACCACACATTTCTTGCCTCTGAACCCCCCAGTTTTCCACGTTAGATTTGATGGGTTGAGACCCAACCCTTGACTCCAAAAAGTAAGGGGTTGATAATAGAGGAGGACCTATTTTCTGCCACAATATCCTCGAGGGTTTTTTTTCATACAGTATTATTATAACAAATCTTCCTAATGCAGTATTACCAAATTAACTCTTATTTCTTTCTGGGAAGCAGAGGAGGAGGGAAGGAGGATGATACTGGAATGAGGTGGGAGGATTGGGAGGGGGTGGAGAGAGAAAGAGACGGGACGTTAGAAGTCTGTCTTTGACTTTTCCTTTCAGGAAACACATCCTGTTCACATCTGACTGCCGTGGCAGTGGCTCTGTCGGTTGCAATCGGCTACGCCCTGAGGTTCACCAAAACCAGCCACACAAACAACCGTTTCCTTTTCATTGAGAGATAGGAGGGAAAAACTTCCTTGCAGCAAGGATTCTGCTTTCCTGCATCTGCAGTTTGCGGGCTCTGTCATTTGTGGAAGAGCAGGAGCAGTGGAGCAGACTCCCTTGGAATTACACCAGCCTTCCAGGACTCCTTGGGGATGCACGCATTTTTCTGTTTGGAATTTGCTTTGGCGCAGAGAATTCAAGTCGACGGCACTTGTGGAATGTTCTGAATCTGGGTGACAGCAAAACAATTTCTGAGTTCTTGCTGCCTCTTATGCAGGTCCCAGCGTCTTCTCACGGCTGCACTCCAGAAGGCTGAAGGGACGGACAGCTTTTAGAGGCATTTTGGCCTCAGCTGTCCAAGAGCACAACATCGCCTACATCAATACTTTGCACATTTTGTTCCAGAAAGAATGCACCTCCTCATCTTTCAGCTCTTCACCAGCTTGGTTCTGTTCAAAGTGGAGGAAGGTGGATAAAGCACCACAGGGGAAGACAAGCAGTCTGGAAGTCCTGTTCCTGCATTTTTTATATGGATTTCTCCTCTCTGCCTTGTTGTTTGTGTGACCAGAAACTTCCAAGCAGCTGACTTTGAGAATGAATGGCGATGTTCTCTAGCCATTCCTAACACTGTCCTGCACCTGCCTTCCATTTACAGTCCTAATTCAATGTACTGCAGCTGATTGGGACGCTTGGATCTTCTACAGAGAGTGGCTACCAGCACTGGATGACCTTCAGATATGACTGTCCAGAAACTGGTAGCCACAGCCGTGTTGGTAGCTCTGGTGTCACTTATTCTCAACAACGCGGCTGCCTTTACTCCCAACTGGGTGTACCAAACCTTGGAGGATGGGCGTAAGCGCAGCGTGGGGCTGTGGAAGATGTGCTGGCTGGCAGAGAAGGGAAAAGGAGGTGCAGGCACAGGTGCCAAGCATGGGCAAGGGGTGGAGCATGAATGTGAATCCTTGGGCTGGGGTTCAGAGCCGGCTGGTTTCCAGGAATCACGAAATACTGTCAAACGTAAGTCTTGTTTCTCATAGTCACTATTGACCTTGTGCTAAAAGCTGTTATGTAGAAAATGTTGCTAAGGTAGCAGCACCTGAAACATCAGAAGACTAACTGTGAAATATTTGCCACGTTGTGGCTCAACCTGAAAAGGGCTGAGTGCTAGAAGATTTGCTATCTCTTGAGAATAAGCTCCAGTTAAGCAAGAAAGATATTAGGGGGGAAACAAAAAGAGATTCGGTCCAGAAAAATAACACAGCTGGGCTACAACAGATGGGGAAAGGCACAGAAGACCCAGGAGGCAGAGTAGAAG